TGTGCAAACTGCAGACAATTGTACTTACTGTTTGCACACATGTGCCAAAGCATTTGCAATTTGCTCAAATCAATAAGAAATTCCAATCTGATGTGAACAAGAAGCTAATTGTTCAGAGATCTGAACTTATTGTTTCGGGAAAAAAAGTTTCATTCGAGAATTGAGCCAAAGCAATTGAGAAAAACTGTAATGCAGTTATAATGGCTTTTAATGTTGATGATAAATTAGTTTTATAGGGCTGCAGTAACTAATCAAGTTAAAATCTATGAGTTTGATTTTCAATTCAGTCAAATCTGCATGCTGTGCACATCCATTGGTCATATTACTTTACAGTAGAAAATCGCACAATTTTTATAGACAAAACTGAAATACAGGACCCAGACTGAGCTTTTGCGGGAAAAGTGTGCAAGGCAGTTGCTTTGTATTATGTTTTTTAATGTTTGGAGATGTTTTCCTAAGCGCTCAACTTTTTATGGTTACATCCTTGTCTGTAAGTGTTAGAAAATTGTAAGCGTTTTTCATAAAGGTTCTTCACAGCGAGTGAGTCTGTGAAAATTCACAGACTTCATTGAACAAGCACCAGTGTGCGCGTCAAACTGACAGAGCACATTAGAAAAGGAGTGCAATAATTCTGACTAAAATGTACATTTATCTGTTAAATGTAGGTTGAAGATGCTACATGTACCAAGTTATTTTTGTGAGAGCAGTAACTGTGAAGGCACAAATATAATTGCCATGTTCAGATGAGTAAATTTATCTCTTACCATTTTAACAGTCTATTGTTTTCTTTTAATTTAGTGATAGTTAACTTTAAAAGGTGGGCAAAAAGTGTTTTTTTTTTTTTTTAGATTGTAATATTTACATGTGTAAAAATTCTCCTGAGATTCGGACTTGTGTATACTTAAATTGCTTTCGGTTATTCCTACTTGCCTACTAATTAGGGGTGTGCGATTATATATCGTCTGCGATAATATCGTAAAAAATATCGTCTAATTATCATTATCGATAAAATCTCATAAAATATCGAGATATCATTTTTTGTCAATATCGCACACCCCTACTACTAATATAGTAGGAGAAAACAGTATGTGAAGAAAGTAGTATGTTCAAAACCTCAGTATTCATAAAAGAGTAGATGAGAGATCCCCGGATGTCCTATTGCTTCAGCCCAGATTCTGAAGTGTGCATCGGATGGACACTTTTCTATCCCAGGAGGCCACGGGGGAGTAATTTTTTTTTTGCATGTAATCTGTTAGGGATGCACCGAATGTTCGGCAACTGAAATTATTCGGCTGAAAGTATTTAAACTATCAGAGAAACGCAGAAATCATTACAAGCACGAAGCACCGACAGCGAGAGACTGTTTAGTGCTGCATCGCGTCTCCGATGAGAAGAAGAGGTGGCTGATGCTGGTGGTTAGGTTACTGTATGATGATTGAGATCGCGAAATTACCTCAAGCGATTAGTAAATAAACTGTAGAATGTTATATTTTCTAATGCACGCACAAATTGCATGTATTCTGGCAGCGCTGCACGAGCTCGCGGCGCCAAGGTTGAAAGTCCAAAGCGCGAGGAAAGTCTGCGCTGAAACTTGTTACTCGTCAGTTGCTCAGTAACAGTTTTGTGAATTTTTTTAAAGGCATGTGACAATGCGATACGTGCGACAGACACACATCTTCCCAAATTCGTAATGAGAATCATTTATAAATCTACATGCTGTTGTCAACAAAAAGAAGCACTGAGATCGAAGTATTCTTAATCACAATACTGCTTGTCCACGGAGGTTACGGGAAACAGCTCTAATTCAGCTTTTCCATAAGCGCCACCTGCTGTCAGCGACTGGATTTACAGAGACCTATATTTACATACAGCCTGTGTGCAGTTTCTGTCTGGCCAAAAACAGACAGAATTTGCATGCCCTGCTGTAAATTTTGACCGGTTGATGAGAAACAAGCTTATGTGGATTCTACACATTTAAACAATTCAGATAAGTTATCTAGAATTATTTTATGGAGCAGATAAAATTCATCGTTTATTAATCAATTATCTTTTTGACGTATCTTTTCTTTATTTAAAGGCTAAAATGTGAGGTTTACCTTTGTTTTAACAATACCGTGATAATACTGATAACAGTGATAATTTTGGTCACTATAATCGTGATAAGAAATGTTTTATACTGTTACATCCCTACCGGGAGGATGATTTATGAGGTTGGCGTTGTGCATGCGTGAGTCTCGTGAAAACCAACGTTTGTTTACAGGAGCAAAGGAAGCAAAGTTTCCTTACTTTAGCAAAGGAAAACCAGTCTCCTCTTGGCTTATATCAAAGTCCTCTGACATTTTTCTTTACAAATCCTCGTTTTGTAATTCTAATTAGTGACCGTTGTTTTGATCTCTTCCCCTGCGCTTCCGCGTTTGTCACTACTGAGCGGAGCATGCGCAAAGCCGACCTCATACGTCATCCGCCCAGAGTTGCTTCTGTTTACAACAGTGAGCACAAGCTAGATTAAATTGATTACATTTTAAATATGGTTATTTTTCTTACAAAAATGCATCGATTCACTACAGGAGGCCTTTGTTTACCCCCCGGAGCCGTGTGAGAGACTTTTTTTTTAATTTTTATTATTATTAATGGATGGGCGCTTTTTATTTCACTTCTTTTGGACTGAAGCACTGCAACACCCGCTGACTGCAATGATAGAGCTTGGAATAGCCAGGACAATTTTTAATATAACTCCGACTGGATTCGTCTGAAAGAAAGTCATACACCTAGGATGCCTCGGGGGGTGAGTAAAACAGCCTAATTTTCATTTTTTTGGTGAACTAACCCTTTAACTATTGTTTTCATAGCCTTCAATTTATACTTTATATATTCCACATCCTGCCTAATGTTATCCTCCAAATAGAGTAATTAAATTTTTGCTTTTATGCGATTCATCAATGAAATAATGATTAGTTGCAGCCCTAGAGTTTAAAAAGATTTATTTGGGATGTTGATTTTCTTGAGGCTGAACTCCGGTATTTCCCTTTTGTGTTTCGGTTTAACTAGAAAATACATCAATTTTGCAGAAGTAAAATTTGCAAATGCTGTTTCGTGTTGATGTCAAGTTGTTTTAGACATTTTAGTATGTTGACTTGAGTCCCTTTTAAAGGGTTAGTTCACCCTGTCACCCAGTAAATTCTCATTAATTACTCACCCTTGTGTTGTTCCAAACCCGTAAGACCTTTGTTCATCTTTGGAACACAATTTAAGATATTTTTGATGAAATCTGAGGGCTCTCTGACTCTCCCATAGACGGCAAGGTAACTACCACGTTCAAGGTCCAGAAAAGTACCAAGATGATCAACAAAGTAGTCTGTGTGACATCAGTGGTTCAACTGTAAAGTTACGAAGCTACGAGAATACTTTTTTTTCTTAATCTGGGTCAGCGCCGCCACACGCTCTCATCATGATACTGTCGTGAGCGTGCGTCCACAAGTGATCATCTTGGTACTTTTTTGGACCTTGAACGTGGTAGTTACCTTGCTGTCTATGGGAGGGTCAGAGAGCCCTCAGATTTCATCAAAAATATCTTAAATTGTGTTCTGAAGATGAATTGAAAATATTTTTGATGAAATCTGAGGGCTCTCTGACTCTCCCATAGACAGCAAGGTAACTACCACGTTCAAGGTCCAGAAAAGTACCAAGATGATCAACAAAGTAGTCTGTGTGACATCAGTGGTTCAACTGTAAAGTTACGAAGCTACGAGAATACTTTTTTTTCTTAATCTGGGTCAGCGCCGCCACACGCTCTCATCATGATACTGTCGTGAGCGTGCGTCCACAAGTGATCATCTTGGTACTTTTTTGGACCTTGAACGTGGTAGTTACCTTGCTGTCTATGGGAGGGTCAGAGAGCCCTCAGATTGGTTTCGAACAACACGAGGGTGAGTAATTAATGACAGAATTTTCATTTTTGGGTGAACTAACCCTTTAAGTGTGTTTTTATTTATTTATTTTTTTTTTTTGTGGTGCTTAAGCATGCAACTTACTGTTTATGCTGTCTTTTCTTTGCAGGAAAAGTGAGGAGTTTAAGTTCAGCATTATGGTCCCTTACCCACCTCACTGCTCTTCATATCAGTGATAACTCACTTTCACGAATCCCACCCGACATTGCCAAACTACACAACTTGGTGTACCTGGACTTCTCGTCTAATAAGATCAGGAGCCTGCCCGCCGAGCTAGGCAACTTGGTTAATCTCAGGTGAGAAGCTAATTTTCTGTTTGTTTGCACACTGTGAATTGCACGGCTTGAAACCACCATAAAGATTTTATTTTGTAAGGCAGATGGATGAGACTATTGTGGTAGCGTGCAGAGACTTTTTAACCCCATGCTTGCTTTTTGCAAGTCGTTTAGCCTCCAGGCTTTAATTAGGTCCTATATTCTTCAGAGGTGATGTTTGCCTCCAGGGGCTGTGCTCTGATAACACCACCATTCTCATATGTGGGTGACACAGTGGTTTGCTCTGAATCAATTTCATTTGTCACAGGTTGAAATATGTTGCCACTTCTCTGGTAGTGTGATTACTGCTGCTTGGGATGGTTATAAATCATGTTCTGAGAGCAGCTGAAATGATACTGTATTAGGTACCTTTGAAAGTGGTTGGGATTTCATCCAACTGCTGAAATGCACAAGGCTACAATAGGTTTTGTGAGCGTGGCGGCTCAAAGGCTGGTTGAGGACGTTCAGTTTTATATAGCATTTGGGTTTTCATGCAATATTTGATCCCTGTACATTTTTGTGCTTATTGCTGTATGATGATCACTGTTTTTATGGCATTCAAATTTTTGTCTGTTTGTTTCACAGGGAACTGCTTTTAAATAACAACCAGTTACGAGTTCTGCCTTTTGAGCTTGGAAAACTCTTTCAGTTACAAACGTTGGGTTTGAAAGGTACTACTTCCTTTTATAACCCGTAAAACTTTAGTTTTGCAGGCCCAGGTGGATTTTATGGAAGTTGTTGCTTTTTCTGTGCTTGTTTTAGAATTTAGGATTTAGAAATAGTAAAAGGTTGTAAACTAACCTGAATGTACTACATTTATTAGTAGCAGAAAATCATAATCAAATTGGTCAAAATATTTAAAGAGTGCAGAGCTTTTCTCCAGGTGTGGATTCCATGTGGGCCTAGTTAATTGTTGATATTTTGTTGCTCTGAAGTAACTTTCATTTAATACCAGTCCTTAATTTTAGACTTTTATTTGGCTCATTGTACAGTTGCAATAAGCTGTCACTTTTAGACATGAATTTCAGTGCTGGCATTTTAAGAGTCGTTTTTTTTTGTTTGTTCATAAAGTGATGTAATATTAATTATTTTGAGCCTTTAAATATTTTTTTTAAATACATAATTTTAAATTTATAGCATTTAAAATGACTTGTGTAAAATAATCAGATTTTTTGGTCTGTTTATCTTTTTGTTTGGGGAAATGTTAACACTATTTTAAATCGTTGTTCCCCTTTTGTACAATTTATTAAAGATAAAAAAAAAATGTCCCCCCTGGATGGATTAACAATTAAGTGGTGTTAGGATTAGTGATGGCATTTTTGAGAAATCCAGATGTAAATGTAATTTTGCAGTGATCTATGTACTAGGGCTGCCCTCGACTAAGGATTTTTCTGGTCGACTAGTAGCCGTTCATTTGAAGCATTAGTCAACTTAATCGCACATTTTTTTTTTAATAAGCCATTTAAATCATTATAATGAGCCTTTAATTGCCTACAAAGCCTAATAAGTGCTCAAGTACACGCATAAAGCTTGCTACAGCGCACCGGCATAAGTAATGTTTATGAATGTGTGAGGGAAAAACAGTAAGACTGCATTAACATTTAAAAAATTTGATAAACTGCTTTCTTTGTTTTCGGATTAAAGGGTTAGTTCACCCAAAAATGAAAATTCAGTCATTAATTACTCACCCTCATGTCGTTCCAAACCCGTAAGACCTCATCTTACGTTCATCTTCGAAACACAAATTAAGATATTTTTGATGCATTCTGACAGCTCTCTGACCCTCCCATAGACAGCAAGGCTCCTTACACGATCAATGTCCAGAAACGTAGCAGGGAGATCTGTAAAATAATTAGAGGTGGAACGGTTAGTGGAAAAAAAATCGAACCGTACGGTTCTCCACACACGGTTCGGCACGCGCTAGGACCGCGGTTCAACTTAAATCTGACAACGCATCTGTAATATGGTTTGCTATAAATAACACGTAAAATAAACAGGGTTTAGCTAATATATGCTTCTGTTGATGGATGCACATTCTGGCTTCCCAATACATTACAATAACAGCGATGGGGGAAAAAAATAAAAAAAAAATGTGGACAAACCATTCACTCTTGTTCAATGCGACTGCCCTATGCTGCAATATGAGCATTTATTCCATCATCACCCGGGTGCTGATAGCGCGCGCACACAGGTGAGACCTGAACAGCACACGTTGATATCTGTGTTTAAGCTAAACTCGTTTAAGCTTTGCCAGTTTAAACATTTAAGATCCAGAGGACGCGAGCGCGCGCAGTGAGAGTGTCGTTCGCGAACGAGCCGGCTCTAGGAAATGCAGCCTTGATAAGCATTAGAGACTTCTTTAAAAAAAAAAAAAAAACCTTATTTTTATGAATTTTTTTTTCATAAAATTAAAAAAAAAAATACATGCGGCTAATCACATGGGAGTACAGACTAGGATCATACCATTATGGGAAAGAAGGAAGGGGGACACAAGCTCCGAAAATAGCGAGTGTAGTGGTAAAGGCCAGGTACACAGAGCGACAGAGAGGGACAGGGGAACCGGATTTAAACGCAAGCGCGTTGGTTAAGTTAGGAACACACTGCAATTTGTTGCAACATCGGTCCCCTCAGAGAGAGTCTTCTCAAAAACAGGACAAATAATCACAGAGAGGAGAAATTGCATCAGCACATCCAAGCTGAGGCATCTGATAGTTCTGAATGCCAACCTGCACTAAAGACTAAAGTGTTAGGCTATTATTAAAGTTTATTAAAATGTTAAATAATAGTATCTGTGTATTTACAATCCTTATTTTTATGCATTTTTTCGTTACAAAAAAAAAAATTAAATAAAAAATACACATGCGGCTAATCACAGGGAGGATAGATCATACCATTATGTGAAAGAAGGAAGGGGGACACACGCTACGAAGATAGCGAGTGTAGTGGTACAGGCCAGGTACACAGAGCAACAGAGAGGGACAGGGGAGCCGGATTTAAACGCAAGCGCGTTGGTTAAGGTAGGAAGACACTGCAATTTGTTGCAACATCGGTCCCCTCAGAGAGAGTCTTCTCAAAAACAGGACAAATAATCACAGAGAGGAGAAATTGCATCAGCACATCCAAGCTGAGGCATCTGATAGTTCTGAATGCCAACCTGCACTAAAGACTAAAGTGTTAGGCTATTATTAAAGTTTATTAAAATGTTAAATAATAGTACCTGTGTATTTTTTTTTTTTTTGTAACAAAAAAAAAAGCATAGAAATACGGCTTTTATGAAAACTGAATAAAACATTGCATACCAACACACAAACCATTCACAATTGCTAAATTGGGCTAAAATAGAAGGCTCCGAGTGATACTAAATAAAGAGCCATTTGGGAGCCGTAAGAGCTGGCTCTTCTAAGGGAGCCGAGCCAAAAGAGCTGAATCTTTGAAAAGAGCCAAACTATCACTATTTCAAATATTTAATTTTAAAAACCCTAACAGTGAACTACAAT